ATTTGTTGATTAGTAAAGCAGAAATAAGGATTAAAGTCACTTTTAAAATGCACCTTTCCATAGGAATCAATCTGATAAACCCTTCTTCGGGCATCAACTATGATTTTCCAAAATATCTCTCTACTTTAAGGTGAAAAAAAAGTTTAGTGATGTTTAAGATTCCTTTTATACCTTCAACATAATTTTCTAGTTATAAAAATGATCGCTTTACAGTCATTTACTAAACTACCCACAAACCAATTAGAAACCTCTATTCTCATCTCCTATAGGGAATTAAGATTGTTTTTATTAATTTTAATTAGATAGCTAGGCAGTGAGGAGTTTCAGACTATTTATTCCGGAATGAACGCCTGTTTGATGGCCAGTCCCAATAGAACCAGACATATGGCAGCGCAGGACAATTGGACTTTCAATTATTGAGCGTTAAGTGAATAAGGAAATAGGGAAGAATCTCTGAATGGGATAAGGACGCAAGTGGATTAGAAGCTCTACTGGGTACTGAAATTTTAAATGCATGATGTTATCAATAATATTAAATTTAAATTAGTGGGGTGCGTGATAGACTTACCTCCACGTGGTGCACCCTGGGCAATGTATACTTATACGGCAAAAAAGTCTATTTTTCGGAAGTTGACTTCTCACTTCAAACTACCATCACCCCACTGTATGCCATACTCGACCACTTACACAGTAATCACCTTACCTTCTCCTCTGTCTTTGTGTCTCTGTGCCTCTTTTACATCTGTCAATCACTCTTCTATTCCACCTCCCTCTCCACTTTTTGGGACTTTGATGTGCCCCCTCTCCTTTATGAAACCCGAAGTCAAATTAATTTCTAGTGATAACTTTCATAAAGCCTGCCATATGATATAGATATTTAAATTAGTTATTATTCACTTCCCCTATATTAGGTCTTTCTCAGGATTGGGAATAAATATTTTTGGCCTAAATTTAATGCATTAGCGTGATTTTAAAATCATATCAAATAGCAGAGGTTAATAGAGCTCATTGATGACAATTTTTTGTAGAAAATATTTAAATACTGGGCTATTTCGATAAGTCTATGACTTACACAATTTCAGAAATTAGAGGGAAATATCCAAAACGGTTTCTTTTGCAAGGCAAATGGACCACATTTCTAAAGCCTTGACGTCTAAATATGAAAAACATCTCTTGAGAAAGTATTTTGAAAAATTGGGAATATGATGTCTCTTATTGACCTCCATGTTTAACCTTCGAGAAATTCAAAGTCCATAATTTTTGCATCCATTAGCAAATACCCGAATTGCTTTTCAATTTATGGAATTGCTCTCATCAAATAATGTTGGGGAAAAAATAATAATTACAATGAAAATTAATCATCCTATTCGAAGAACCGATTAAAATGGTTAAAGCTTGGATTTTTAAATGTCATATTTTTCCAACATATGCAACAATCGCTAAATGAAATTGCATAATTAAATGGCACAATTCTTATGCTAGTTTTAACTTTAAAATCATATTTAATTGGGTAGATGCCTAACGATAGACTAGCTTTTTATAGATTGGGTGCTTTAAACACGTGAAAAACAATTTATATATATATATATATATATATATATATATTTCAAATGACGGGGTGTGCGATAGACTTACCTCCACGTTGTGCACCCTGGGCAACGTATACTCATACGGCAATAAAGTCTATTAACCGGCAGTTGACTTCTGACTTCAAACTACCATAACCCCACTGGATGCCATATTCTACCACTTCCACAGTAATCATCCTACCTGTTCTCTGCCTTTGTGTCTGCCTCTTTTACATCTTTGAAACGCTCTTCTGTTCCCCATCCCCCTCCCGACTTTTTTTTCACTTTGATGTTCCTCCACCTCTCTGCAAAGCCTGAAGTCAACTAATGGGCTAATGATAACCATCAAGACGCCTGCCATTTGATATAAATAAATATAGAAACGAAGTGACCAAACACTCTTCTCTGCCAATACACTGTTTACGTCGAAACCCTCCACTACTATTTTAAAGGTCAAGTTTTGTGGACACTGTACGATGGCATGTGCTTTCAAAACACATTTGTATCCCTACGGTGTGCAAGTGGAAGCGCTGCAAGAGTGATGATGACTTTGAATGTCCCCGAAAAATACTGCCCAGGTGGGCAATATCATGATTTAGAGAGGGATTTCAAGGAGCTCCAACCAGGGGGGAATAAGAGAAGCTTTTTTTAAACAGTCTAGACTGAGCGTTGACATGCTAGGTTGGGAGAAGAATTTTACCACGCTAAATTTTTTATTTCAGGTTCATTTTTTTTCATTATTTTAATCGCTCCCAATTTATTATTATTATTATTTTCATTCGAAATGAATTCTTTATATTATCATTAGAAACTCGGTTGGATTAAACTACCTATCATTATTATTATTATTTAAATCTTCTTTGCTCTGACCTTGAGGTGTTGTAGTTCCCCAATTACACATGGAATCTTAGTATTGACAACCCACAAGAAGAGTATATTTTTAGACTTAATAAAGAGGTTTAATTTCACTTCACTTTTCAAATTGTGCAAGTATTTATTACTCTAGAGCATTAAACGTATTAAGAAACAAAATATACCTCCGAATTACCGCAAGACAACTATATATCGATTGTTTTTGGAAACATTATTGATTATTGTATTCCTATATCATACCCGGGTATTGCAAGACCACCTGCTAAGGAATCACTCCTCCATCGACTCATTAAGATATTTTCTTCATTAATGGGCAAGAATCACCGTCTTAACAAAAAATCGTTTCTCTTATTTATCTTCCTGACTTCTGTGTGATGTAAAGGTTTGTAAATGGTAATTGATCAGTCGTGAACGAACATGCTTATTTTCATACATCTTATTGATCTACAGTTCTTCCTATAGGAAGCCACCTTTTTTGCTCCATCGCGGTTTCTGCCAATGTTTGAATTCGCGGTTGTGAAATTATCTTTGTTCAATCGATCGCCCATAATTAGACGCTTAACCAGAATGAAGATCTTTGGCCATAGGAGTGCCATCCCTTTGTCTCGTTTAGCCAAATAAGTAGTAGCCTCCAAAGAATGTACTAAATGGGAATGCAGACAAGGCAACAAGGTCTCGTGAGACTTGTTCTAACTTAGGCTACAATGCAATGCCAGCAGTTTATTTACAAAGAGCTGCAACATTTCAGTAAAGTCATACTGTGGGCCGTTAAAGGTCAACAACACAATTGTCTACCAATTCAAAAGTCACGAGCATGTTCCTGAATCGGACAGTTTTGAATTGGGTTAGTTTTCACGAATTTGGAACTGGACCATAAAATTCGCAGATTTTGATCTTGGAAACACGATTTCTACTCAAATGTCTACTTAGTATCAGTGAAAGGGGTGTGCGATAGATTTACCTCCACGTGGTGTAACCTGGGCAACGTATACTCACATGGCAAAAAAGTCTATAAACATGCAGTTGACTTCTGACTTCCAGCTACTATCACCCCCCTGTATGTCACATTCCAGCACTTTCACGTTACTCATCTTATCTTTTCTCTGCCTTTACGTCTGTTTGTCACATTTACATCTGTGAATCACTATTCTGTTCCCCACCCCTCGACTTTCTGGTACTTTGATGAGCCTTCCCCCTGTGAAGCCCGAAGTACATTTAAGGGCCAATGATAACTATCAAAACGCCTATTATTTGATATAAATAAATGTCTGCTGAAAAAGAAGATTGTAAATTATAACACATCATTATTTTCATTATTTGTTAAATAAAATCTGTTTTGTAGAGTAGTTCTTGTCAACATTACAACTTAAACAAGTTAGTACAAGGTTAATATTTATTTAAAAAATAATTAAACATAATATTGGAAATAATTGATAATAAGTAATACACATATATGCATGAAAGTTCTAAACCACAAATTAAGTATTTTCGATCAACATTAAATAAAAAGAATTTTTGCTATCTTTTGAAATTCAGTCATTATTATTTTGAAAAAAATTTATTTCTAGGAGACAATTTTTTGTATGCTTCCATTCCAAATGCCAAATTTCCTGTTCCTTTCTCGGTTTATCTCCGTCTGGTTTAATTTTTTCTCAGAAGTTATTTAGTCGAAACCCCCTATGCCATGACGAGTACTCCTTAGCCTAAATTGAAATAAACTTACAAAACTAAAAAGTTGATAACACCTAATTAGATAATTTAACGAAATTGGGTGATTCATATAGACCTTTTAAAAGGCCAGAAATTTATGGTACCGGTAAGGAAAACAAGCATTCATCAATATTTAAATTGATGGGGTGTGCGATAGACTTACCTCCTGGGCAACGTATACTCATACGGCAAAAATGTTTATAAACCTGCAGTTGACTTCTGACCCCACTGAATGTCATATTCGACTACTTCCACAGTACCCACACCACCTTTCTTCTACCTTTTCTACCTTTTTCTTTGAAACGCTCTTCTGTTCCCCCCCCCATCAGCTTTTTCACTTTGATGTTTCCCCTCTCCTCTGTGAAGGCCGAAGTCAACTAAAGGGTTAATGATAACTATCAAAACGCCTGCCATTTGATATAAATATATATATATATTTTAATTGATTTTTTTGCGCTCAGATTTTTGGCACTTTTCATTAGTCTCTTAATCAGTTCGTGGATAGTATCGCCTTTTACACACACAAAAAATATCTAATCGTTTTCCCTTGGTTGTTTAGTTGGGGTAAAAGCAAAACACTGGGACCAGTCAGCGTGCGATAAACTTAAATCACCCAACCAATAGGAAAGCGTGTGGTGACGCATCCTCTAAGAGCGAGAATGCAATTCACGTATATCATTTCTTGCAGACGCGCTTAAGCGCAAGTTTTGTCCATCTGACTCTCTCACTCACACTCTCGCTCTCCCTCTCTCTCCCTCGCTGTGTGTGTGCGCATGTGTGTGTGCCTCGACAAAGAACGCGAAATTGTGCATAAATGGAAGTAGCCAACCCCGCCGACATCCTTGCAACATGACATCTATTGTCAACTCCGATAAAATACTCACTGATTGTGTTAAGAAAATCATTCGAGGATATACAGGTGGACCAGTATGCGTAATTGGAATAGTTACGAGTGTTCTAAGCCTTATTCTTTTCAAGCGCGATAATTCGACTACCCTAAGCACCCGACTTCTCCTTTCAGCAATTGCCTTGGTTGATATAGTCTTCCTTTTAATGTACTTAATATTGAACTCCCTACAATGGTTCCTACCAGAAATTAATGCTTTCTTAACCAAGCCCATGGTATTCACCTTTTTCTTTTTTATGACCAATGTCTTTGAACTCTATCGCAATTGGCTGGTTGTGGTGATTGCTGTGGAACGTCTCTTATACTTCCTTAAGCCTCTGGAATTTAAATTCATTTGGAGCGTTAAAAAAATTGCAGTAGTGCTGATTTTTCTCTGCGTTTTCTCTTGTCTTATTCGCATTCCTGTCATTATCTACGGCATTGCTAAGAAACCCCAAGAAAAAATGAGAGACATGGATCTTGTGAAGCTGACCCTAATGATCCACTTGCTTACCGATTGCATAATTTTAACAATTGCACCAATTCTGCTTATGATAATACTCTCAATTGCCACAACAATACGAATCAACGCAGTTGTTAAGACAAAACTTCGCCTTGTCAATAACAACTTTGCGCAACAGCGAAGGATCTCTCCAGTTCTACAATCGTTGAACAATGGAGATCAGCTGAATTCGAAGGAGCAAGAAGATAATTCCTATCGAAAGCATTATCGGATAGTTAAGATACTCCACACCGTCTTGGTGACTTTCATCATCTGCTCCGTTCCATCCATTCCAGCCACAATAATGAGTTTCTATCTCTACCTTCATGATCTTCAAAGGGGACAGCTTTTCGTCATCACAGAGGTGTTGTCTTCGATTGCGAACCTCGGATCTCTTGTCAATTCCACCTCCAATTTCTTCGTCTACGTTGCTCATAGTAAAAGATATCGATACATTCTAGCCAAGATATTAATGTTAGATCGTTGTTTTGCCTCCTTCCACCGCGAACCAAGCAGTACGCAGGAAACTTGCTGCAATTTGCAAGAAGATGGTAAAACCCAATTTGCACATTCTGTAAATAATCACTCTAATGCAACTTAAATTAGAAACCTGCACTCAGTTCCTCCACCCTTTCCAAAACCTAAAATCAATTGTCCAAAGTTTTTGTGACTTTTCTGAAATTACCACACAAATTGCACGTATTGATGTTATGCAAACCAATGGCAACTAATAAAATTTTTAATAATTTTTTTTTAAAAAAAAATAAGATGGTTGTTTAAATTGGAAAGTCACCTGTATGAGTTACCGTGCTTTCATTTTTTTCGATATAAGTAAATTCATGCTTTGTTTAAGGCAATAACTTTGGCCATAATTAAAAAAAGTAAATTATTCAATTTTCTTATTTCGTAAGAATTATGTGAAATATGTGCTTATAATGTGATTTCATTTATTTAGATTAGTTGGGCCTTTGTTGTTTTCTAATGCAAAATTGGATGAGTATTAGGTGAAATTGAGTTTTTTTGCAAAATTTTACTAAAGCCACTGTACTAATATGAATATTCATTTATTGAATAATTATGCTAAAACGCTATGATGAAAAAAGAAAGTTTAAAATGCATGCTATTAATCTAACTCATGATGATTTTACAAATAGGAGGTAACTGTATTTTGCGAAGTTCCATCTCTATCAGGACCAACCTCAGCTAATTATCGATTAATGTCTGCTCAAGGTAGAGTTCAATATGTTTATCTTTGCTGATCATGTTTTCAATGGGCCAATACTATGTGGTACAAACACTATTTTACCTGCTTCTTCCTTTCCACCCAATACTGTTTTGTAAATTGTCTGATTTCGGGAGCAGTTTTATGCTAGAGGAAGTCAGTAGATTATTGGATTGTTGATTGAGCTATAAATGGTTGTCATTAAAATTTCACTGAAATTTATTAACTTGACCAGTTTGATCAGTTTGGCAAAATGGCTTGAATATACAACACACCCACATTCGAATTCATTCTTTTTAACTGGAAGATTAAGGGTAACACAAATAACATTTTTGACATTTGATTTTTTTGCAAGAATTTCATGCCATTTAATTCTTTTTTTTTGGATTTCAATCTTTAAATATGGTGCATTTTTTGACAGCCTCTATTCATTTGTAAGTAAAAATATATATTTTTTTCTCTGCAAATCTGCTGAAACATAGATAAAATATTTACTTAGTGGACCCCGGGGGCATTTAGAAGCCTTTTTTCTGGCCTTACCTACTTGACCCCATGTCCTTTGGAGGAAATTACCTGAATTGAGAGAGGGCCAATCGTAAAATTTGAACTTTGAAATCCGAAACAGTGACATGATTATTCATTTAAATTTTAGAAAAAAACAAGATATTTACCTCCAAGTTATTGGATTAATGATGTATGTCTCTTTTAACCATGATTTTGTCCTTACACATAATTGGTCCACACCTTCAATTTGCAGTTTTCTCAGGACATAATCGACTTATATTTCCAGATTAAAGGATAGAATCGTTTTCTAGAGAGTTTTGGCAAAATATTTTATTTTTTGGTTTGCGAAACTACCTTATACGGATCTAGGATCTGATTTATGAAACTCCTGACGGTAAAGAGCGTTGTACTTAGCTTAAAGGAGATTTTAAAGATAGTTTGAAAATTTTCAACCTCTCATTGAAAAAACCACTTGCATTGATCAACATATTTATTCAACGATATACTAATGTTAACACGAGGGTAATAGGGCCAAAATTTACAGGATTTCATTAAATAAATGATAACACTAAATTACCAGGTTTTCACCATGATAGTATATAAGTTTTCTTCGAAACTTACGCAGCTATATTGCTCACAAAATGCCAATCCATTCAACCAAGTAGGTGGAAATGAATCATCCTAGTTCCTAAACTAGCAACGGGCTTTACAAGAAGGAATAGTTGTCCAATTGGCCGATGAAATCCATTGGGAAGAGTGGTCTAAATAGGTGATAGGGACATTTATTTATTTATATCAAATGGCAGGCATTTTGATAGTTTCATTAACCCCTTAGGTGACTTCATGCCTCACAGAGGAGATGAAATATCAAAGAGAAAAAATTCGAGAGGGGGGGGGGGAACAGAAGTGTGCTTCAAAGATGTAAAAGAGACTGACGCAAAGGTAGAAAAGAGGTGAGGTGAGTACTGTGAAAGTAGTCGAATATAACATACAGTGGGGGGTGATGGTAGTTTGAAGTGAGAAGTCAACTGCCGGTTTATAGAATTTTTTACCGTATGAGTTTGCGTTGCACAGGATGCCACACGTGGAGGTAAGTCTATCGCACACCCCTCGCAATAGGAACATTGAATTGTGTAATTACATGCGGAAAATAAAATGCGCTGAGATGGAGTGGTACGTACATAAGTGATAGTATCTCATGGAAGGCTTGGAAATGACATTGCATGAATAGAAATCAGTTGAACATCAAACGTGGGATCGAATTCTTTGCCTTAAATCAGGTCAAAGACATTTGTTTTTGCATTTTAAAGTTTAAAGGACATCACTACTTCTTATACCCACCATTATATACATACACTTAACCCTTGCTTTGAATTCTCATTCTGAATAAATTTGAACTGTTAATTGAAGTGGAGCCTGATTGGATCTTTTGGCCTACCCAGATTTTGGCTTCAGCTTAATGCTCAAAAAACGTAATTTATCCACTGGCGATGTAAAGCCGATAACTCGGTATTTCAACAGTAAATACGCTAACATGCAAATAATTAACAAGTAAGTAAAAAGCATATTTCAGGTTTCTATGATTGAATCAAGATTAGGACTCGAATTTCCCACTAACATGAAGCTATGTGGGATAACGAAAATTCAAGGAGGCTACATTTGAATCCGGAGTGCTTAAAAAGGGATGACCTCGAGTCCTCTGCAACCCTCGTATTCTGTGTGATTGGGATAAGATGAATCTTACTTACCCCCTCCCCCCCCCCCCAAGCCATCAAGGAGTTCTGAAGGTTGTCTTCACCTGCAGACGCAAAATGACCTTACGTCGATTTTGGGACATTTGCTCGCGGCTCTTGAGCCGCTTTTCTCAGTGTCCGTCATATTCATTATCATATTCTTCCGCTCCTATCCCTGAGCTTCTATTCCCCCCCTCCCCTAACTCCAAAATTTCTCGAGTTTTAATCGCTGGTGTTCAATCATTCACTGTCCTCGTGCCCTCTCAACACAGAATTCTCGCCTTGTCAACTGTGGTTGTCGATTGAGGTTAACATTTTTACTAGTTAAATAATAGCCTTTGTGTTAAGTAGATAAATTAACTATTTTTGCATTAAATTTGCTACTTTGCGTAGTTAAATAGCTTACAAATCAACGATATATGCTATCGTTCATTTCACACATTTAACGGAACACCTTTGGTGAATTATCGATTACCTACTTCCAGTATTGTACATTATTTAACTCTGCAAATGAAAATTTACCAAATTTCATTATTGCTCCTCCGTAAATAGGATCCGCAGGTAGAATTTCCTCCTGGAAAAATTTTTCAGCAGGACTTTTTACCACCTCTGCAAAATGGGGAGTATATTTACCCTTTGTCCAAGACTTCCATAAACCAGTTTTATACCTTCCAACATAAAAAAACACTCTTTTAGTGGGTTCTTTTATTGCTCGTCAAAGCTATTTTTTCGCTCTCGGAAAACCGACGGGATGCCTATTAAGGTTGAGGTTTGAAATTTCTGGAGTTCTGAAAAATTCGCCAATTTAAGTGGAATGCATTTATGCACTAAGTGAGTGCACTTTATTGAGTGGAAAATAGGTGAGCTTAAATAAGTTGAATAAACCTCTATTCAATATAGCAGTGTATGGATTTTGGATATATATATATATATCTATATCTATATATATATATATATATATATATATATATATATATGCATAAACAAATACCCAGAAGGAAAATTTCGTAAAGTGTTGAGTTTGTTTATATCTAACGTCAGGCTCTATGATAGTTAACATTAGACCTTTATTTGACTTCGGGTTTCACGGAGGGGCGAAACAGACAGAAGAGTAATTCATAGACAATAAAGTAGAGAGTAGAGTAAGGTGAGTACTGTGGAAGTGGTCGAATCTGACCTACAGTGGGGTCATGGTATTTAGAACTCAGATGTCAACTGCCAGTTTATAGAAATCTTGTCCAGAGTGCTCCACGTGGGAGTAAGTTTATTGCGTACTCCATGATTTCGAATAAAATTGCATCTAACAATTTGCATCTCTCTAACTTTAATAAAAGAGAAATGCCCTACAATGTTTAATTTCTACTAACTATTTTAATCTAATTAATTTCAAAGCAGAATTCAAACAAAACTGAAATATCATCAAAAATTATCAAGAGGTAATGACCAACGGTTATGGCATTTCATTAAGTTGACATTTAACTTAAGACTTTAGAATCCCCTAATACTCGTAGATTTTTCAAATTGCCTTTGTTAACCAATCTAAATTCGTCTTACTTCACCTTCTCAACAGGTCTTTTAATGGTGATTAAAAGGCAACACCTGAAACCTCAGCTCGTATGAGTCCTTATTTCAGAAAGGGAAAATACCAAAGTAAACAATTACCTTTCTTTACTAGGGAGGTTATTCAAAGCAACATCCCGTTACCCCTAGTTAATGGAAAATTAAGTACGTCGCATGTACCTAGTTTTGCAAAAAAAATTCCGAAATAAATATATTCAATATTCTGGCTTCCTAGGTGTCTTGTAGATAATCAACTTACAATTACTTTTGTTATCTAAGTTTTCTCAAATCCAAAAATAGAATATTTCTTTGTATAAGGATTTCGGGAATAATTTCAAGCACGAGAGATATGAGGGTGGGGGTGGGGGAGGGGGAGTATATTTATTCAATTATGCCAAATTTCGACAGGTGAATAAAAAATTCCTCAAATAATGCTTTTTGGGCCAATTCCCGGAATTAAAATAAATTCAATGAAACTATATTCATGAAAATACAAATTACTATCACATTTATATAAATAGAATCATAATCCATGGGAACAATTTTTGTGTTATACTGATCGGATTAGAGGAACCATTAGTT